GTGTGTGTGTGTGTGTGTGTGTGTGTGTGTGTGTGTGTGTGTGCGTGTGTGCGTGTGTGTGTGTGTGTGTGCCTTTGTGTTAATTCGACCTGTGCATTCAAGAATCAGGAAGGAATCCAAGTTACTCCTTTTGTGCGTTTGGTCGATGTGCGTCATGCAAGCAGAGGCATTCAATTGAAAATGACCACTCTTTTTGTTCTCCCACCCTCCCACCCCTTCCCCAGCACACACGCGCACAGATTTTAGCAATCGCCCGCAGCATGATGATTGTGTTCCGTATCGGCATATATGCAACAAGCGCGTGTTTGCATCATCAATTCAAATTAAAAGACGTTTTCATGAACATTGATTGGCTGCCGGTGTGGATTTGCTCCTTTCGGACCAAATGACTTATGTATGGATACACACGCAGTGAGCTGCATGCAAATGTACACGCTACATGCGCATTTGATGGCTGTTGTGTCTATTCTAACACATTTGCCTGCTCCCTTTGTTGCTGCTCTCCCGTAAAGTGACGAGTTTGGTTCTGTGTTTATTTGATTTACTTAACCTTTATTTCTGCAGTCAAGTGTACTTGTGTGTGTTTGTTCCTGTTGAGGTATGTGTGTCGTCTTGCTTTCTGTGCTTACTGTGCTCTCGTGCGTCAGGCTTCCACATGCGTATTTCCACAGTCAGGCAATGACGCTTTAAAAGCTCGTTTAACAGCATTCCGGTTTTGGCTCATTGCTAAGGTGTCACCATGACGTGAAATCCTAGGAAGCGCCTGCTGACTCACGTGCAGCGCCACCTGTTGGTGTTGCCCCAGTGAATTGCACATGCTCAGGTCTCAGAGGTGCATCATGAGGGATTCATTTTTGGCAGCTTTGGCCTCATGACAACGATTGCAGTTGTAGCATATGTCAATACAGATGAAATTGACCAAAATGTGCAGCAACGTGGATCAGTGGTACACTGGCCCACGTGAAGGTTTTGGCGATATGAGTCACTGTGCACACTGCACATACTGTATGTGTGTACACATTTTGCACGAGTACTTGAAGCAATGAGGCAGCAAAAGTTAATCTCTTCCCAGCCCTCAGCAGAACAGATGTGAGGATTAATTTGCCAGGGAATCATGTGGTGTTTACATGCTGGTGTGTGAGCTGCAGGCTGAAATTCAGTCAGATAAATGTTGGCGTGTAGCTTCGGGCTGAAAATAGGGATACAGTGCAACCTCGAAGGAATGGACTAATGGGGGTATGAACCTTAAATTCAAGTCCGTTTTTGTGGCCCCAAAATGTCCAATAGAGTATGCAATTATTATGAGTTCAATCCAGGTTCCACTACATTTATTTGGCAACATTAAGCATTGTTGATTGTAATGAATTGCTCATTTTCAAGTCTTTGTTGAAAAAGATCGACAGAAGTTGTGGCTCAAATGAGCCGCTTGTTCCGGAGGGTTTTCATGCACAATTAACACCGACTTGTGATCTGATGATGGTTAGATGTAAGAAATCAAATTTTGATGATGCAAGTGTGCCATTGAATGAACCAATGATTCTCAGTGTCACTTGTGGCGTCATAATTATTAAGAGCGCGTGGCGAGACGGCGTGCTGGCCAACAAAGTAATTTCAAATGCGCTTTCATGTGTTTGTCTTGTGTTTAATGCATACAAATGAAATTGCATGAGCAAATGCTGTTGCGGCTATTGATGTTGTGTCTGTTAGGTACGCGCATCGTGTTGCTTTTTTTTTTTCCTGGCCTCTTGATGAGTGACATGGAAATGTTTGCCAGTGTTTATTACTCTTTGAGAGTTACATGGACTTCACCGGGGGCCGTGTTTTGTTCATTTAGTTCCAGATGGTCTTCCTTTTATCCTCAACACAAAATAAAAATGGAGCTGAATACTATCCATGACATGTTTATCAAAATGCAACGCGTCATTGTGTTTGTTTGTGTTCCACTGCACCAAGTAGACAAAGACTTTCCGGAGATGTGTCTATCATCTAAGTTTCACATGTAATTTTACCTACGTTTTGTCAAGGGATATGAATCTAAGCATCTTTAGATTTTATGGAAGGTAAGGGAAATGAAGAATGAAAACATTTGACAAAAACGATATTATCTGATTGCAAAGGTTTGTATTTATTTTGGACTATCACTCTAGTGCACTGGTTTGCACACATTGATGCAAACATTCGCTGGTTTCTTCACATTTTTTTGCTGGTTATGTAAAAGGCTGTGATGTGTCATCTGCTGTTGCACTGCGATATCCACTGTGTGAACAGGAAGCGGTTCATTGTCTTCATCAATGAGAAGAAAAAAAAAACAGGACGCAGCTCAAATATTGTTGTTGTCTATGGCAAATGATTCCACATTACCTCCTCCTCAAATAGTTTTCATCTCAAAAATAATCTCATTCATTTCATAAAGGAGCTCTCCTTCAGACAAAATAGTTTCAAGAAAACAAATATTCGATCCATAACTGATGACAATGATGATGATTAAATGATATGATAGCTGGATGACAGAGGCAAATTTGAAAAAAAAAAAAATTTGCCCTCAAATTAGCCTCAAATGAGACAGACCTCCAATTGAAGCGTGACGGCCTGCTGGGGCTTCCTACAGAGCACAGCACAGCAAGCATCATGTCGTCTTGTGGAAACCACTTTCATTTCTGCTTTTGATTTGAAAAAGCACACAGGGTATTTTCCACTCAAATTGTTTGTGAGAACAATAAAGTAAAATATGCACGTGTTTTTGTGCATTGGTATTGTTGAAACAATTCTGCTCCACTTAATTCATAGGGTTCATTTTATTATTGTTATGAGGTAATTGTTTTCCTTATTGCATTGCTCATACCTTCAGACAATAGGCATTTGCTTTCGTGACATATTCAAAGGCTTTTTGCATGGTGCGAGCTGGGCATGACCGCAGACGTTGTTAACAGCTGTGTATTTGTTCACTATAGGGGTGCAGCTGACAGCTGATTGTAGGTTGTGCATGGAGGCTCATATTTGCCTTTTCCCAGTTTACCCTCAAGTTTCTCCACTGGGATGTCTAAAAGCCACTTACTGCACATGTCTCGACGTCCCTGCTGGCACAGTTGAGCTTGCTTTTAGAGTAAAAGGTATATAATAAACCAGAGGGATGCTGACCTCTCAACCTATGGAACGTTTCAGGTGTGAATTTGTGTCGATTAAAGTGGGGTGTAATCTGTTTGATTCCCAAATCATATAAGCAATGCATGGTAAATACGTTCAGATGGCACGGTGTATGGGTTAAACTATACGTGACAGCAGTGTGTGTGCGGAAACAAAAAAATAAAAAGGACCCCCTCCTCCCCCAGTCCCCTGGGGAAATCACATACAGACATTAACCTCTCTTGAGGTTGTTTTAAACAATTTCCCTGGTACTTTTCTTCTCCACCTTTTATTTCACCCTCTATTCAAAATTCAGTCATTTTATTATTACAATGGAAGGGAGGGAAATTAAATGGAGCAGTCAGAGAATAGCCCCAAGATTAACGTCTGACTCTTTCAGTATTCATGGGGAGATATAGAGATATAGATAGAGATCCTTAAAACGTAACCGGACAGACAGACATCGATAGACACATCCTATCCATCCATTTTGCAATCCGCTTATCCTTACAAGAGTCGCGCCCAATCGCAGGGGACACATAGACGAACAACCATTTGCACTCACAATCACACCTCGGGACAATTTAGAGTGTTCCATTAAACGGCCATGCATGTTTTTGCAATGTGGGAGGAAACCGGAGTACCCGGACAAAATCCATGCAGGCATGGGGAGGGGAGAGAGAGAGAGACGGAGAGAGAGAGAGAGAGAGAGAGAGAGAGAGAGAGAGAGAGAGAGAGAGAGAGAGAGAGAGAGAGAGAGAGAGATGCTCTATTACTCATTCTGTCTCTGCACTGCTGACCTGGCCTTGGTGAAGTGAGGAACA